ATCAAACATCAACAATAAACAATCAAAATCACAACACCAACAATCAACAATCAACAATTCACATCAACAAGCATCATCAACAATGAACATCAATAACCAACATCAATAATCAATATTATAGCAATCAACATCAACAATCATCAACAATCAACATCGATAATCGTTAATCATGACAACACCAATCAATTATCAACAATCAACAATCGACATGAACAACCACCGTCAATTTCAATCAACAATCAACATCAACATCAACCATCAACAATGGACATCAACAACAACAACAACAACCAACAATCAACAATGCGAAAAAGCCAAACCTCAGGCTAGCCCAACACCGTGTGTTTGTTCCCTCAAACTCTAGTGTATTTTTGTGTTTGTTGACTATTCTCCTTTGCAAAAATTTGCAAATTCTTCTCCGGAACTGTTTGTCAAAATGAAAACGTATATGAACTTCAATTGTCAATAGATAAATGCACAAGACACTGAAGATGTGCTTTTTTGCAATTACGTTATCATGACGTCATCATGGGTCACGTGACGTCACTTCGAAAAATAATAAATTCAATCTTTGAAATTCCATATAAAATCAACCGTCAGAGACCGAAACTTGAATTTTGCGGGAATCTACATGATAATACATGATCTTCAATTTATCTTGTGCGTGCAAAATAACGTGACCCTTCCTTCCGGTCGAAACCGGAAGTGCCTAATAATTTGAAAGTGAAAAAAGATATGAACTTGCCTTTAGCGATGTAAGTCTGTGGGTGGGTTGAACTTTTCAAAAAAATGATCGGTGACGTCATGAAGAGTTAGAGCGCCCGCTAGCGGCAGGTTAAAAAATGTCCAAAACGCATTTACAGTTGAAGTCTGTGGCGAAATTTGCGATAATCGCTTTAAAATTATTATACATGATGACCTTAATGCAGACAAGGCCCGTGCGCGAAAAAAAATTGATTGCGTCATCAGACCGGAAGTCACAAAGAAAAAAACTATTTTCCTTTGAAAAGTGCTAAAAAATCAACCGTCAAAGATATAATCAATTTTTGTGCTTTAATAATAGGTCTTAAACTTCCCAAAGATTCTTTTCAATACATTGACTAAATAATGCCCTGCAGCCCCCTTGAAATTTGAAGTTGAACACGCCTATGTCTTGAAACGCTCATTTCATGCCACGTACATTGTGTTTACAGCAGATTACGTACAAAAGGGAAATCCCCGTGCTAGCTTCGTGAGTGTCTGGTTTTACAACTGTTGTATGTTAACTATTGAGCTACATGTAACGGCTGTTTGATGAACCGATTTATTTTAAGTGTTTACCAGTGTTTTGTACACGTTTATTATGACAAGTTCTTAACGAAGCACATTTTGGAATTCTGATGACGTCATTATGATACTCAAAAATTGGGCTGGCAAAAGCGCCCAATTGGGCGCTTTTTTTTAAATTGGGCGCTAAAAACATGCGCATTGGGGTGAAGAGAGTATGGCGAGCGATTTTGTATTGCGCTAATGGTGTGCAACCTTTACTTTTAGAGATATGAGCTATTTAATGGGTTTTTGTAACAATTGTACTTGATCAATTTACAGTACAGCAGCATGTGCGCGTGCAGATCCTCACCTGACTCTTTTAAACTATCCTCTGTATAATAACTACAAGCGCTATTTTTAAGCCCTCAATTGAACCTCAACCCTCAACATCAACTTCAACAATCAACAATCAACATTAACATCAACAATCAACATCAACAATCATCAATCAACAATCAACATCGATATCAACATCAGCAATCAACAATTAACATCAACATGAACATCAACAATCAACATCAACAATCAACTTTCGACAATCAACTTTCGACAATCAACAATCAACATCAGCAATCAACTATCAACAATTTACATCAACAATCATGACAATCAACAATCAACAGTCAACATCAACAATCAACAATCAACAACCAACAACCAACATCAACATCAACAATCAAAATCAACATCAACAATCAACATCGACATCAACATTAACAAATATCGACAATCAACATCAATAATCGTTATCCAACAACACCAATCAACTATCAACTATCAACAATCAACAATCGACATCAACATAAACAACCACCGTCAAATTCAATCAACAATCAACATCAACATCAACTATCAACAATCAACATCAACATAAACAACCAACAATCAACAATCAACATTAATAATCAAAAACAACAATCAACAGTCAACAATGCGAAAAAGCCAAACCTCTAGCCCAACACCGTGTGTTTGTCCTCAAACTCTAGTTTTTTTTTTGTTCTTCTCAGCAAAATTGTTCTCCAGAACTGTTTGTCAACATGCAAAGTGATATGAACTTCAATTGTCAATACATGAAAACACAACCCACTGAAGATGAATTTTTTTGCATTGACGTCATCATGACGTCATCATGGGTCACGTGACGTCACTTCAAAAAATAATAAATTTAATCCTTGAAATTCAATATAAAATCAACCTTGAGAGACCGGAACTTGAATTTTGCGGAAATCGACATGACAATACATGATCTTCAATTGATCTTGTGTGTGCAAAATCACGTGACCCTTCCTTCCGGTCAAAACCGGAAGTGCCTAATAATTTGAAAGTGGAAATAGATATGAACTTGCTTTCAAGGATGTTAGTCTGAGGGTGGGTTGACCTTTCCAAAAAATTGATCGATGATGCCATGAATAGTTGGAGCGCCCTCTAGCGGCAGGTTAAATAATGTCCAAAACACATTTTCAGTTGATGTCTGTGGCAAACTTTGCTGTAATCGCTTCAAAATTAATATACATGATCACCTTAATGCAGACAAGACCTGTGCACAAAAAAAAAATGATTACGTAATCAGACCGGAAGTTACACAGAAAAAACCTCTTTTCCTTTGAAAATTGCTAAAAAATCAACCTTCAGAGATATAATCAAGTTTTGTGCTTTAAATGACACTTTAATAATGGGTCTAAATCTTCCCTAGTTTCGTTACAATACGTTAACTAGAAGATGCCCTGCAGCCCCCTTGAAATTTGAAGTTGAACACGCCTACGTCTTGAAACGCTCATTTAATGCCACGTACATTATGTGTACAACAAACTGGGGATTATTGCGTACAAAAGGGAAAGTCCCGAAAAACAGTGCGCTATGATTGCGTACAAAGGGAATATCCCGTGCTCGCCTGAGTGTCTGGTTTTACGACTGTTGTATGTTAAGTATTGAGCTACATGTAACGGCTGTTTGATTCACCAATGTGTTTTAAGTGTTTACCAGTGTTTTGTACACGTTTATTTATGACTTCTTAAACGCAAGCACATTTTTGACTTCTGATGACGTCATATGATGCTCAAAAAGTGGGCTGGCAACAGCGCCCAATTGGGCGCTTTTTTTCAATTGGGCGGTTTTTTTTCTAAAAACATGCGCATTTGGGTAAAGAGGGTATTGTGAGCAATATTTTGTATTGCGCCAATGGTGTGCGACCTTTAATTGTTGAGATATGAGCTATTTCATGGGTTTTTGTAACGATTGTAAGTTTACAGCACAGCAGCATACGCGCGTGCAGATCCTCACCTGACTCTTTTTAACTGTCCTCTGTATAATAACTACACGCGCTATTTTTCAACCCTCAACATCAACAATCAACAATCAACATTAACATCAACATCAACAATCAACATCAACAATCAACATCAACATCAACAATTAACATCCACATGAACATCAACATGAACATTAACAATCAACATCAACAATCAACATCAAAAATCATCAACAATCGAAATCAACAATCAACATTAACAATCAACAAACAACATCAACAAACAACGGCAACAATCAACAACAATCAACAATCAACATCACTTATAAAGGTATTTTTTTCGGAGGTGTTTCTCAATCAAGTGTGTTGCCGAATATAAAATTAAAGTCCTTTTTCTGTCAATTTATGATACAAAATTAAAGTCCTTTTTCTGTCAATTTATTGTTATATGTGGAATATAAACAACTTATTTGTCATATAAAAAAGTGATACTCCGGTGAGCTGTTTTTACGAAAAACGAGACTGGATACAATTCGGTCACAAGAGGGCGTTTTTTACGAGCTAATTGGGCATGCGCAAAAACCTAATGTCGCCCTTCGCTCATATCCCCCGCCCTGTTTGCAGGGTGGGGGTACGAGCGAAATGACGCTCTGAAAACAGCGGGGTTATAACATTGATTGCACGGCACGTACAATGTTCCTGTGTATTGTATTGCATCTACAAGGAATGGGGTTTTCCCCACCACTGACATGGCCCATGTACATGTACGTGCTATATTGTGCATTACATCTGAATGGGGATTTCCCACAACTCAAAGTTTATGCTCGCCAAAAGAGGGCAGTACATAACTCTAACGGGTGTTTGGAAGAAGTGGGCAGCGTAACTAGTTTTACATAGTACTGTAGTTCTCCTGAGGAATATAAATATCTGGGTGATCAGGTCCAATAAGAAGAATCCCTTGAAATAAACTGACACCAATACACAAACAAAATATAAGTATGCAAGGTTAAGTGAAGCACACACAAGTTGTTTAATAAGAAGCATACAACAGGTCACTTGACAAGTAGTTTGCAAAACTAGTCTGTTATTCCACGAATAACATCATACAAAACTTTGCGAAGTATTTCAAATCGGATAACTATACAAAACCTAATAATGACATGGTCATAACATACATCATTACAATAGATAACTAGAATGTTCAGTAAGTTCCGCGCTCTGTAATTCCTTCTTCTACAGTATTAAAGCTGTGATGTCCGTGGCCTGGCTGAACATTTCAATTCAATGGATTTGCTCCTACATATGAATAATGGAGAAAACTATTTTTATCGTTTGACAACCCTGGTCATTTTTTGTTTTGTTTTTGTAACAGATTTGAAAAGAGCACAATCTCAGCATTACTGCTGTGAAAACCGCATACTGATACCATATTTAGTTCAAAATTATGGAGGTCGGAACACTAAGAGATGTGATGAAGTGATGTGATGAAGTGGCCCTATTTTGGCTGAATCTCCAAATAAAAGTTCCCAACAAATGACTCTTTCAGCTTGATCGCATCACATTTTTGAAGGAAAAACATGCATTACACTTTGTAATTTATTTGGTCTGAAATTTTGGGATTATAATTGGCCTATATATTAACAGTGTAAGAATAGCGTCCCAATGCTGATGCAAAAATTGAAATATGCTATTACTTATCCTCAAATGACTCATTAGAAACCTCATAAGTTGTGTAATGCCAACAAATTAGCATTTAGTTTCTTGGGCTGTCACCCCCCAAAACACAGCAGGAAGATGTGAAGCAGGATGATGATTAGAAACAATAAGGGCTTAAGTAAAGTCGGTAGGAAATATTGCTCTTGATAAAGAAGGGGGTCCAGAAGGGGGGGCAATCAACACTTTAAAATGTTAATGATGTGTCCACCTGAGTGCAGGACAGCCGGTGTTACAGAAAATTTGTCAGAAAATATGAAAGATTATATAGGAGCATGGGGGCCAAGTGTCTCTAAAATGTTCACTACTGTTCATATCTTGGATAGTATTCTCTTTTTCAATGTCCTGTTTCACTCTGCTATGATAATAAGACACCATAACTAATGACTGGTAACTGAAAATTGTGGTGATGAGCTGAAAATGAACACAGCTGACAACTGGCAATGATTACGCAGACATCTCAGCTGAACAGGGCAAGTAACGAATGGTAGTGGTGACAAGCCCTCAGCAACACAGCCAACTGGGAGAGGTTATACTGACATCTCAGCTGAGCAGGCCAGCGGAGAGGGCAGGTAGCGCTGACATGCCCAAGATAACACAGCTGAATGACAGCGGCCATGCAGACATCTCGGCTGAACAGGGCTGGCTAGAAATAGAAGTGGTGACAAGCCCTCGGTAACACAGCCAACTGGGAGAGATTATACTGACTTCTCAGCTGAGCAGGCCAGCGGAGAGGGCAGGTAGCGCTGACATGCCAAAGATAACACAGCTGAATGACAGTGGCCATGCAGACATCTCGGCTGAACAGGTCTGGCTAGAAATAGAAGTGGTGACAAGCCCTCGGTAACACAGCCAACTGGGAGAGATTATACTGACTTCTCAGCTGAGCAGGCCAGCGGAGAGGGCAGGTAGCGCTGACATGCCAAAGATAACACAGCTGAATGACAGTGGCCATGCAGACATCTGGGCTGAACAGGGCTGGCTAGAAATAGAAGTGGTGACAAGCCCTCGGTAACACAGCCAACTGGGAGAGATTATACTGACTTCTCAGCTGAGCAGGCCAGCGGAGAGGGCAGGTAGCGCTGACATGCCCAAGATAACACAGCTGAATGACAGTGGCCATGCAGACATCTCGGCTGAACAGGGCTGGCTGGAAATAGAAAATAGAGAGAAATTAGCTAGGATGAAGGGAAATGTAGAAATTAAAGACACATGAAATTAAAAGATATCTTCCATTTTTCAGAAGATGGAATTTATTTCTCGAATAAAATTAATTTACCATCGTTTTGAATCAAATGCACGAACTGCTCAGCAGTGCAGATGCTACTTATTGTTAATTAAAGCAATCTGAAAAGAACTTATTTATCTTCGTTGAAAGAGTTAGGACAGAAAATAACAGGCCTTTGCAGGGTTGTAACAGGGTTTACACGGGGTGGACACAGGGTTGGAAACAAGCAATGTTTCACACTTGACAGTCTTCAACTCTGCACCAACCCTGTGTCAACCCCAAGATTGGTTCTAACCTTGGTTCAAGTCAACCTTACTCCAAAGCAGGGGTGATATTTCTCACCCGGGGTTTACACTGTCACCTCCCTTGAAAGCATAGTGTGCGGTGTGTTCACCTCACGTTGAACTCGAATAAGTGTAAGACGCGTAGCCACAGGATTGAATGCAGGGTTGAAAATTTAGGGCATCCAGCAGGTTTCCCCTGGGATGACCTTGCATCAGGTTTTGAGAAACTTAAGTTTGAAATTGGACTAAATATGACTGATAGGATGAAAATAACACACCTGGTTTATGCAAGTTGGTAACGGTAAAGCAGATATCTTAGCTGAGCAGGGCAGGCAAGGGCTGGTAGTGCAGATAAGTCCCAGGTGAAACAGCTGACTGGCAGTGCGTTATGGAGACATCTCAGCTGACCAGGCTAGGGCAGGCAAGGGCTGGTAGTGCTGACAGGTCCCAGGTAACACAGCTGACTGACAGTGGGTTATACAGACATCTCGGCTGAACAGGGCTGGCTAGAAATAGAAGTGGTGACAAGCCCTCGGTAACACAGCCAACTGGGAGAGATTATACTGACATCTCAGCTGAGCAGGCCAGCAGAGAGGGCAGGTAGCGCTGACAAGTCCGAGACAACAAAGCTGAATGACAGTGGCCATGCAGACATCTCGGATGAACAGGACTGGCTAGAAATAGAAGTGGTGACAAGCCCTTGATAACACAGCCAACTGGGAGAGGTTATACTGACATCTCAGCTGAGCAGGCCAGGGGAGAGGGCAGGTAGCGCTGACAAGTCCGAGACAACACAGCTGAATGACAGCGGCCATGCAGACATCTCAGCTGAAAAGGGCTGGCTAGAAATATAAAACAGGGAGAAAATCAGGATGAAAGAAAAAATCTGAAATTACAGACAAATGAAATGAAAAAGTATCTTCCATTTTGCCCAAGTTGGAATTTGTTTTCGGGATGAAATACACTTAAATAAGGTTAAGCATGAAATCTATGCACAAGCTGCTCAACAGTGCAGATGCTTACTTACTGTTAATTATAACAATCAGAAAAGAACATATTTATATCAAACAAGACTCTTACAATTTTTTTTCTGTTTTTTTTGGGGGGCGGGGGCAAATTCATGAAAAAGAAATTGTCATGTGTGAAGCTCTGCATTAAGAATTGTGATAAAGTCTTCAAAGTACTCTGGTGATTATACTGTGTCAGACTATTCACAACTGACTTACCGTATATGTATTTTGGTTGAAAGAGTTAGGACAGAAAATAACAGGCCTTTTCACAGACTAAGCAGGTCTCAGTGTTGAAGCAGGGTTTACATGGAGTTGACTCAGGGTTGGAAACAAGCAATGTTTCACACTTGACAGTCTTCAACTCTGCACCAATCCTGTGTCAACCCCAAGATTGGTTTTAACCCTGGTTCAAGACAACCTTACTCCAAAGTAGGGGTGATATTTCTCACCCTGGGTTTACACTGTCACCTCCCTTGAAAGCATAGTGTGCAGTGTGTTCACCTCAAGTTGAACTCGAATAAGTGTAAGACGCGTAGCCACAGGATTGAATGCAGGATTGAAAATTAGGGGCATCCAACAGGTTTCTCCTGGGGTTGACCTTACATCAGGTTTGAGAGACTCAAATTTGAAAATGGCCTAATATGACTGATAGGACGAAAATAACATACCTGGTTTATGCAGATACCTCAGCTGGCCGGGGCAGGCAAGGCTAGTTGTAGTGCTGACAGACCCCACATAATTCTGCTGACTGGCAGTGGGTTAACAGGGCAGGCAAGGGCTGGTAGTAATACCAAGGCCCAGATACCTCTGCTGACTGGCAGTGGATTATGCAGACATCTTAGATGAATATATTTTTTGTTCTGTTGAATAATTTTGACAAACTTCGATTCAGCCATGTATAATGTTATTGCACAAGTATTTTCAACAACTCTATATACTTCAATTACAAAACTGTCCATGAAATGTACGAATTAAGACCTGTATCACTATCAATGAGTAGTTACAGCTACATTGTTTCTTGAAATTCATTAAATTTTATATGTTATAGATTTTTCCAAGTGATACGCATTTTGAAATTGATTTATTATCTCATTCAAAACATTAATTTCTTTCAAAAGCATAATTGAGCCAACATTGATGAATTATGCTAACGATTCTTCAAAACTTGATTTGAATAGCTTCATGATAACTATAGTATGTAGGTCTGATTGTAGTTGAAACTGAATCTATACCTCTCACATAAACATGATCAATTAATGTACCCATCTCTGTGGTTGCATCTCTTACAGCCTGCTTGTAACCATGCTCCTGCATGACTCTCTCAATCACGGAGTGTTTATCAAACAAATTCTCATTGAAATCACCCATTACTATACATCTGTGACAAACATTATGTGCTTCAGCCAACAATACCTTGAAATTCATAATGAAATCTTTCATTTTATACGATGGTGGTCGATATAGAACAACTACCACTGCTGATACACTAGAAATTATATGAAACGCAACATATTCCAGATTTATAACTGACATTCTTAATCGACTAAAACATCTTTCTTGTCTACCATAAACTGCTACTCCTCCATGACTCTTTTGCATCAAATTACTAGAATTCTCATATGACTCAGCTCTTACTTGATGATAACATTTGAAATCATTTAAATTCAATTCATAAACATTATCTACATCGGTCCATGTCTCTGTTAAGCAAATGAAGTCCGATTGCATCATATCACAATGGCACTTCAAATCTTCAAAATGATTCCTCAGCCCTTGAACATTATGAAGCATTATAGTTGTGTTCTTTGTCTCTTTCTGTTGTTCACTAGTTGAGTTAATATGTTCAATCCACAGAGGCATAACATTCAAAACTTCAGCCACTGACTTATCACAATATATATGTTTTAGATCAAATCCCTCTATGATTAGTCCATTCAAGGAAGTCACACGACTCAAACTGACATATGCTTGTCCGGCTGCAAATGTACGATCAAGGCAAACTACAGCTTTACTCATTGTCATTCCTTGTACTTTGTGAGAAGTGCATGCCCATGCAAGTTTCAAAGGAAATTGCTTACGTATACATTTCTTTCCAATGTGTTCTTCATCTATCTCAATAGCAACAGACGTCTGATCATGTAAGACTGCACATTGCCTCCTGAGTTTAGCTCCTGCATTGTTGTCATCAAATTCCACTTTAATACACTTACATGCAGGATCAGATTGATCAGCTAACATTTCAATGCCAGTGACAGTTCCAAATGCACCATTTACAAGACCTTGAGAAACATCCAAATTCTTGACTAACATCACACGTGCTCCGATACTGATCCATAATGTTTGACACAAAGAAGTCCGAGCTGATTTCAATGGTGTTTCTCTTTGTTTCAACCTTCCATTACCGTCTTTTTCATAATCTTTCGCTTCAATACACATACAATCTGAAAACTGTCCATGCAAAATTTGTCTATTACATTTGTCAACCTGTTTGTTTGTAGGGTAAATATGAACGGCATCATTCCATTCTTCTCCTGTTTCACGACTCTTCAGAATAGAAATGTCTTCATCTGTCAGACTATCTTCTTTCTTCCTAGTTCGCACATGGTTGAGAAGTTCAGCAAATTTCATGTCATCTTTTTGTCTCATGATTTCAGTCAACTCAACTTTTTTGAAATGATTATGCCACAAGCTTGATTCTAGTGTAATATGATGCAAAGATCTTGCTTTCACTGGCGGTAACTGATAAAAATCACCAACTGCAATAACACTGACATTTCCAAAAGGGCACTGGCTTCTTGTTTGCTTAATTTGCCTCAGACGTCCATGTATATAGCACAACATTTTTGGATCAACCATAGAAATCTCATCAATAATCAAAATCTGTATCTGATTCAATTTATTCCGCAGAGTGCTTAATTTTTCCTCACCAAGGGGTTGATAGGGTAATGACATATCAGTTGATATTGACAAGGCACTGTGTACTGTTAATCCATGAATATTATATGCAGCAACACCAGTAGGAGCACAGAGAAGTACACATATATTGTCTGGATTAATCATTAATCGTCCAAGTATACGTACTGCTTCATTGTAAATGCACTTGATCAAATGACTCTTGCCTGTTCCAGCTCCTCCAGTTATAAATACATAAAATGGTTCAGGAGATTTTCCATTCACTTTATCCAGACACCATTGTCTAACCTTGTAAAATACTTCACTCTGCTGAACATTCAATGATCTCATTAAGCTTTGAGCTTCTTGTCTGGGTATCTTGGCAGCATGATATTCAATACTATATTGTGTGTCATTTTTCTTATCAGACTTCAAATCAGGAATTGCACATTCATCCTCACTTTCATGCATCACTTCTTGTTTCTCATCTTGACATTCAAGTCTTTCTGATTCAGTTTCTGGACAGATCAATGCCCATGCATCATCCTGTGGACCAAATCTTTCTAAGTACTGCTCCACATCATCCATAGATTCTATATTAGCTTCAAATTTCTGACGATTTTTATCTAAAATACTTTGGACAGATTGTACATCACAATCATGGAGTTTGACTTTTCCAGTTTTATAGAATTCCTCATATGTTTCAAATTGTGGTGGTTTCAGTTGTCCATCAACACGATATGGAAGAAATAATTGTAAAATGCTATGATAGTATTTGTTGGGGTACTTTGACTCTGAAAATCTGGGATATTTTATAACAGCTGCACCAGTACGAGTACGTTTCCGTATATGTCCCAATCCATTTCTTAATTCATGTACATGTTTAGAAGCCTTTTTACCATGAATATTTGATGTTTCTGTCTGTGATAAGACTCTGTATTCTGAGCTGAATGAAGCCAAACACATCGTTTCAAATTCATCACTCTCAGGTCGTGCCTTATATCGATCAATTCTTGACACCATCCACACATCAGAATCACCTTCATCTGATTTGTTCTGTATCACACTCAGTGGTAAACTCATTCTCACAGGATTTTCTCCCACAGGGATGAACTCCACTTTTCGAGAACCTTCTTTCAATCTCAAGTTACATACTCGATATACTGCCTCTTGAGCTGATACCTCACGGTTCTGTAAATAGACTTGGCCAACTTCTTTCATGCTTCGCTTAGCATCTAGATTACCTCTCTGTGCTTCACTCTGCGCATGACTCAGCAACTGTCCCATTTCACGTTCAGCTTTCGACATGTAAGAAGCAACATATGCCACGCATCCATAAATATCTGTAATATATTGGATATCTAGATTTGCATTCCATGCTCGAAGCAAGTGAGGATTATACTGATTCACCCATACATCTTGAGGATTACGCTTCAATACAATACTAACTTTCTTAGAGAGAGCACTATTTGCTTTTTCAAAATCATCTTGAGTAATTCCCAGACTTTCAAATAATTCATTTGTTGTCTTATATTGCTTTTCTTGATGTTGAACTTCACTCCACACTGATTTCAAGAGCTCTTTTGCATCAGCTGTAGCTGTACCACTTCCTGTATCTCCACTGCGATTTTCGTTATGAGTCTCAGAGTTTAGAAAGACATGTCCAGAACCACCATCTGAATCACTATCAATTCCACTCATTTCCTCTGTGTCATCGTCACTTCCGCTGGTATTAGATCTAATAACAAATGTTCTCTCTGATGGGGGTCTAGGAAAATTAAATCTGCATTCTGTGCCCTTTTTTTTACAACTTTTGGAATGCTTCTTGCTGTGCATTTGGACATTAGATACAATTTCATTTAACTCATCATCCTCATCTTTTGACGGCAATTTACAATTTACATATCTGTCAATAAATTCCACAACTTTTTCATCCTCATCATAATCCAACTTTGGCGCATCTTTTATTCAGAATATTCCATGTACATGTGGTGATCCCCTCTGCTGAAACTCGATTCTATAAAAGTAGTCTTTCACTTCACCAATGGGGTGTGCCTGTGACATAATGACCTGCTTCAAAAACATATGAAACTTTCTATCAAACATTCTGGCAGCAGTCACTGGATTACTTCTCAGTATTTGGCACTTTTCATTCCAATCCAATTCATCTACAGTTCTACCATCTCCCCGTTGTCTGAGTATCATATTAATTACTTCAGGCCATCTCATGTCTGCAGCAGAGAATGAACAAAACCATGTAGGTAATCCAAGCTGTGTAATCATAGCTAATACATCTCTGTGAGCACATTGCCAATATGGTGGAGTACCTCTTATTGGTTTCAGGAATTTGTAACCACTGTCAGATTTCAACATCTTATTCAAGTTTGCCTTGTCATTAAGCATTGAAGCAGTGATATCATGACCTTCTTGAGTCTTCATTGATCCCTTACGCAAAGCAATAGATACACATGACATAACTTGCTGAATTTCAGACAAATACTGTGCATAAAATATATAATCTGTGTTTTTAGCAAATCTGTTGTCAACATTCATTAACCTGTTAAGCAGATATCTGCACAATGTTAATCTGACTTTCCTCTGATCACTAAATATGGGACCACCACTTGGAAACAATGTTGGAAAGCACTTGGCCTCATTTCCTTCTTCCATCATGATTCTCACCGGATTATTTCCCTCACATGGTGCAACACAAAATATATCATCAAAGTACTGATCAAGAATTTCTTGTCCAATATTAGCAGGTTGAAGACATGTATCAAGCTTGATTCCACACAATCGGTCATCATCATCCTCTTCCTCTATGTCAGTAGTCTGATCATCCTGATTCATTGTTTCATCATTTCCAGGTTCTTCAACTGATTGTTCAGGTACAGGGTTAATCCAATCGTATTCAATTTCAACATCATCATACCATTTATTATTGTCTTTCAGGTAATGCAAAGCTTCTTCAACATACTGCTTGCTGACAAACTGATATTCCACATGGCCTTTATATGACAGTTTACGCTTCAATTTAATTCGTATCATATCATTCTGATTTGCAGTTCTTGGCAATGAATGGATTGTTTCTGTGGTATTTGATGGAACACATACACATGGTCCAAAACATCCCTTCTGACCACCTTTTGGTAGATTGATAATTTTCATAAATGCAATATTTCTGGCTATCAGATGTTGCTCTAAGCTGTTAAGTTTTGCCAGTTCCTCTGGAGTGTCCACTAATGACAAATTATTCGCATTTGCTTCTGCTGGGACTGTATTTTTAATCAACTTTCTATGGCAAGTATGACATATCCGCAAGCATGATCTGTTTGATCTAGCAATAGAACAATCCAATTTGCAATTCTTATTACATGTATGTACATAATCTTCAGATATATTCTGAGAATACTTGTATGCATCCTTCTTACATTTCATTACTTGGTTCTGAAACAATAGTTTATGACACACAGCGCAAACACAATCAGGTCCATTTTTCATCTTAATCTTGAAATCACAAATTACATTATGTATGTTTTTTTTTCTCTCCTTACAAATTAATATTCTTTTTCTCTTCCTTTCCAGAATGTTCTTTTTACGCTTAGGATCTTTATGATATTTTATGCTACATGTATGCAGCAATTTCTTTCTGTGTATTGGATCTTGCCTATATTTTATCTTACTGCTGTCAAGTAATTTCTTCCTGTGCATTGGATCTTGACTATATTTCATTTTACTATTATCAATCAACATTCTCCTGTAAACTGCATCCTGACTATATTTCATTTTACTATTATCAATCAATTTCTTCCTGTGAACTGCATCTTGCCTATATTTCATTTTACCAGTATCAATCAATTTCTTCCTGTGAACTGCATCTTGCCTATACTTCATTTTACCAGTATCAATCAATTTCTTCCTGTAAAGTGTATCCTGACTGTATTTCACTTTACCAGTATCAATCAATTTCTTCCTGTAAACTGCATCCTGACTATATTTAATTTTAATAGTATCAATCAAGTTTTTTCTGTGAATTGGATTATGGTGATATTTTACTTTTTTGGCTTCTTTCTTTTTCTCTCTATATTGCAGATTTTCATGGTAAGTCAATTTTCTTGCCTTCAAAATTTCATTCCTGAAATCAGGACATTCATGATACTTTTGTTTATAACGGGCATTGTTCTGATTACATCTTCTTGTCTTAATAGTCTTTCTTAATTTACAATTATCATGTACATCATATATATTCCTTTGGTTACACTTAATGCAATTCACATTATTTTCATATCTAATTTTTACAGATTCAATATGCTTGTTTTGATTATCTTCATCAATAGGATATTTGATTTCACTATACAATCTATCTTTGGTCCTTTCGATGTTTCCCATATCTTTTTTACTGAGATGTTCTTCATATTTCTTTCTCTTTCTTTCCCTATCCAATTTTCTTTTTAATTGCAGATTTTTACTTGCTTTGCGCCTCTTTCCCTTTGATACATTTACAGGTTTGGTTAATTCTGGTTTGGCTTCATTAATTTCATTCTCAATATTATGATCATCACATACCATGTTATTATCAATAGGTATTTGCATTTCACGCATACTAAGATTATCCATGAACTCATTTTGTACACCAACCTCTGCTTCAATTTCACTTTTAACTTCAACTTCTTCTGCAGTGTTTATCTGCTCTGGTTCATGCACTGACAATACGACATCATAATGTATTCGACAAGTATGATTAAGATAGATTCCAGCATCTGATGTCTCAACTCCAACTTCAGCACTTTTGCCAGAGAATAAATACCATCTGTCACCAAATGTATAAATATCAGTCTCAAGCATGTGTCCTGCAGCCATAATCTCAACTTCAGTTGCCCATCTCCCTGAACAGAACATCCTTGCCCTACGCACATATTCCTCTACATCAGTGAATCCTTCACGTAACAAACCCTTGTACCGACTAGCATGTTTCAATAAATGATTTACAGTTGCCATTCTCAAACGCATGTGATTAGCTTCTGTCCCTGAAATTGCAAAACTTATCGCCCTGAAAAAACAATTACCATCTCCTTTAATATTTCTGATACAATCTGGTCTTCCGATCTTATCACTTACTTCAGCTACTTCATCTGACTGTAAATTAACAATTGTGATTCCAAATTTATAACACAGTAATTTCTTGTCATCATATGATAATGGCACAAAATGAAACTCACTTGGTTCAGATATGACATTCATTTCAATGTCACTGTCATCATTTGTACCATTAGTGTTGTAGCTCCCTCTGAGAAGTCTTTCTGAATTATTTACATACTTTTCCTTTTCCCCTACTTGTTTTGACATCTCTGCCGTCTCATTACCTTTGTTCGACTCATGACTAGTCTCATTATCAATGCCACATGTCAACCTGTCTTTATCACAATCAGTCTCTTCATGTGAACACATACCAGCACCTTGATGTTTCAACACACTCGCACCAGTGATTTCAAATTGTTCATCATTAGTTACATTCATAGAATGACCCAAATCTGTACAATACCTGTAAACATCTTCCCATGTTGCTGCACTTTTCATCAAACTGCTTCCTTCACTTGCTTGCAAACCATTATGATCTCTGGAGTGGGAATCAAAAATATAGTACATTCCATTTTGAGCAACAACGGCAAATGTATTTCCTTTAAAACATATGAAACAGCCATTGTATCTCTGCAGTGTCTGCTCAAGTGCACGGTTCATCGGCATCATATTAAATTCAGATAAACTGCATTCATCTCCAAAAGTACCACACACAGACTCGTGATAATTCATTGTGAAATGTTGATTAAAAACATCCAATTCATTGGGCAATTCATTGATCAACAAGTAATCATTGTGCATCATTGAACTATGTGATAAATGACCATACAACTCATTGCCAGTATTCAGCACTAAATCCATATCATGACACGTCCAGTGTTTCAATTCCTTCACATGACTATACATCATTGAGCACAAGCTATTTGCAACACACTGCTTTCCCATATTAACACCAAATTTCCGATTACCTTGATGAAAGTTTCCCTGAATAATGACATGGACTGGAGTCTTTGTTCCACTGCATACTTTTGATTGCATTTCATTTTGGGAGCATTGTTCGAAAATTTTCTTTGAGCAAGCCGTACTTTTGCCACTTATTTGTTTATCATCATCAATTATTGAATTATTGTCAACTGCTGGTTTATTCTTGTTAACCACTGGTGCCAATGACCTCTTCTTACTACGTAATGAATGTCCACTTTTATCTGTCATTTCTGAGAACCTGTTATCATTACACTGAACATCAACACTTACAGTTCGTTTTCTCTTTCTTAGTTCATATGAAACCTCTTTAACAACTGGACTGTCTCTTTGCTTTGTACTCTTAGTTTCACTCACTGTTCTCCTGATTTTTGACTGTCTTTCATTTACCTTAGCTGCTACATCTGATTTTTTCTTTCTTTCTCTTAATGAATAACCTCCAGATTGCTTAATCAATGAGAGATTTATAGTGCTATATTCTTCATGATTTTCAAGTCCACTTTCCTTTTGCTTCCTTGTATTTAGACTGAAGTATTTTCTCTTGGTTGTTCGTCTACATTCCATCATTTCTTTTGCAACTTTGTCAACACGTGTACAATCATGAATCCCGACTGTGTTACCTTCAGTACTCTCTTGTTTGTCAGAATTCTCCTCAACAGACTGTTTCATCATGTCTTCTCCCAAGCCATCCATCAATGTTTGCTCATACATGGTTAAATCTACAGGAATGTCAAGATAATCATGTAAAGATTTACAGTAGTTACTTCCATGGCATTTGTAGCATACCCATATAACTGATTTGTTTGCCAAGACATCATTTGCAGTACTATTTGTAAATCCCATGCAATCAACATGATACCACAATCCACAGCTACACTGTGCTTTAGGTTGAAATCTGTTGATCTCTTTATCACACATCCAACACTCCCAATTATCAGTGGCATCACATTTCATTTCTACCATGTTTGCTCTCCCTCTTTCAGACTGTCTGTTTCTCGTTTCATTTTCATTGCTTTGTCTCTTCGAATGATTTTCCAACACTTGTCTTTTACATCCCACCTTCTTGTGTACAGGCACCATGATCTCTGCATTTTTATTTCTCTTGTCCTGCAAGCCGTTGATGTTCTTCAAAACTGTACTCAAACTTCTTTGTGTACGACACCAGATATTGTTTTGCCATTTCCCATGCAACCTTCTATCCTCTTTGCTCTTGCGACACTCTACTACCTTCCCTCCTTTCCTGATGTTATGAGTCTGCTTGAACACTTGTTTCCTCACTTTTCTCTTGTGCTGTCTTGATGGCCTCTTTCTACCATTTCCTTCCCAAATCTCTTCTACATAATCCAAGAGACGACCACTACCACAGTGCTTTGTCCAACTGTACTGCTTAAGCCATAGCAAACCTTTCACATTACTGACTCTTGCTAATCGCTTCTTCCTGCCCTCTCTCAGAATACTCACTCTTTCCCGTCTATCCTGTCGCATCTTTCTGTCATGTTCTTCCTGTGCCTTCTTCAAGAGTATCTTCTTAGGTTTCACAATCTGTAAATAATAACATTTCATCACCTCAGTTTCATCACAGCATTTTCTCTGCTTTGCTTTTATGCTCAATGTTTTGTCGCATCTATTTTCCTCAAGTTGATTTGCTCTCAAGTTTTGTTCATTGTTTGTTCTCAAGTTTTGTTCTTGGTTTGTTCTCAAAACCTGCTTCATCCCAGAACCTGACTCATCCAAGCATTTGTTCTCAAGTTCATGGTTCTCAAGTTCATAGTTCTCAAGTTCATAGTTCTCAAAGTCATGGTTCTGAGGTTCATGCTTCTCAGGTTCATGGTTCTCAAGTTTATAGTTCTCAAGTTCATGGTTCTCAAGTTCAAGGTTCTTAAGTCCATGGTTCTCAAGTTCATGGTTCTCAAGTTCATGGTTCTCAAGTTCATGTTTCTCATGTCCATGGTTCTCATGTTCATGGTTCTCATGCTCATGGTTCTCAGGCTCATAGTTATGGTTATTGTTATCGTTATGGTTATTGTTATGGTTCACAAGTACAAGGCTCCTGCCAGGAACCTGGTTTTCACCAGGATTTAGTTCCTTTCGATCCATGGGGAAGAGACTTCTGAAGATGCCATCTGTGAACACATAAAAAAAGGGGGGGGGGGAAAGTCACAAATACAGAAAAACAACACTATTTTTTTGCAACATCCCATCGAACCCCAAAACAGCTGCAGACAGCTTTTCTTTGACATTCTAACAGGGTTTTTTTTAATTGTGCAGATTCTTCAAAACTTTTCTTCTAATTTGCCAGGTATTTTATCGATCAAACATACATTTCTCACTAAATATCAATTTTTTAAACATCCCTTGGCCAAAATGTTTACTTCTCTCATTTACAATACTTCATACATCTCATTGAAACAACATAATCAAATATAAATGGCCAATTACAAGATTTACCATCAGACAACAACATCTTGAGGGAGAGTATGCAATGCTTCCCACCCCCAGCCCCCACAGTAAAAAATAAGAATCATTTTGTAAAACAAACTCAAACTACAACTCTTTATTTCATTATCAAATCAGTTCCTTTAACTTCAGCTATACAATAAGCCTCCGTACTGATCATGTTACACTTTGTTGACGTGCGCTTTTCCTGATGCAGCTATGCAACCACTGTCCCCACCATGCTCCCATAAGAAGCACACATGTAAACGAAGTGTGACATCATCAGTACAGAGAATTACACAATGATTTCAGTTCCTTCTGCAATACAAGACGACGACACATGCATAATCATGTACATGTACTTCTGGAGACTTTTTTTTCTCAAAAACCCCGTTAATAAATCCAAACCCTGCCATCTTCTTCCAAAATAACAGAAAGAATGTACATATGCTATTCACACACATCAGCAGTTGTGTACTTACTCTATCAAGACTCAGTTATATTTTTAAGAAAGTACTTCATAACAAAATTGGAATTGGAAATGCTTCTCAGTCACAGATTCATGTCTTTTAAACATTTCTGCAATGACTAACCTTTATTGAGATTATACATGAACATGAAGAGAAAAGTGCCATGAACTACCCAAATTCTTTCTAAATTACACTACCTGATAGTGATACAAAACTATTCAGAACATTCCAAACACATTAGGCAACTTTTCCTGCGAAATATTTCACTATTAATTCCGAAAGCACAAAATGTCTTTTCATTCTCATGCGAGTATGGGATCTGATTAAAATAGAACTGCTATACCATTACCTGCCCCCCCCCCCCCTCTAAAACATATTCTGTTTCTGATAACATGATTATTGAAAATAGGCTAAGTACATGTAGTTAGGCAAATTTTCTATTTGGGCAATTTTTAAAATTTGTTTATCATAATGGATCCTTGCATGTAGTCAAGGGTAAAAGGTAGTACTTACAATGTAATGGCTTTTGCTTTGTTTTCCTCCCCCCCCCAAAAAAAAAAACCCAATAAGGGTACAGTCTGTTAAAATAGGGCAGGGTAACCAGAAACTACCCCCATAATTTTGATAAGATTTTAACTGCACGGAGTTGCACGACGCGACACATATTGACTCTAACCACAATAAAGCCAACAAAAAAGTAACTTAGGTATAAAAGATAACCAAAGGAGAATTTTGGTTACACACATTACAATTTGGCCCGTTTAGTTGGAAACAAATCAAATCTTGATAAGGACAGGTCTAATTCAACCTAAATCAATTCATCAAACAGAACAAATGGCTAGGCTACACAATCAAATCAACTGATCAATCTTTAAGTATCTATATAATTAAAAGATTACAATTCAATTTTAATTAGTCTTTTCGACTAGGTTGATGGTGCCCAGCACAGGCCTTATGATTGAACATGCTGAACAATACATGTACATGACAATATAATTTATTTTTATTGCTCAAAAAATGACCTTTCCAATCAAGAGCAGCCTTCTCTCAATTCTAATGACACCCTTTTTGTAATTTTGAACAGTCCTTGGGGTAGAAATCACAATTTTCCTGCGCAGTTTGCTGCCAGTTAGTTCCTTCCAATTCAGCACGCCTTGCATGCTCACAGTATATCACATGGTGATCGCCATCTTTATTTTTTGATTGCGGGTTGTCGCTGCGCTATCATCGTCATTCTACCCCCAAAATTCCCTCAAAAATACAAAACGTCACCCTGCTCTAGTCCGAGTAACTTGGACCCAACTTATCGCCTTTTTTAACATTTGGACATGGTCTGGCGATATCGCCAGACCATGTCCAAATGTTAAAAAAGGCGATAAGTTGGGTCCAAGTTACTCGGACTAACCCTGCTCTATCTTATCTATCATGACACATTGACATAGTAGTAGTACCAGTTTATTCCTAAAGTTGCCGACGACTTTGATTGGTCGGAATAAATGTTGCAATCTGACACCACTTTTTTCTTCGTATAACATATCAATGAAGGTCATTCGTTGCAAAAATGATATTGATAGACATGAATTTGTAGGAAAAAATAGGCCTAGGCCTTCTAAAATTTTCTTAACTCTCAAAAAGTATTTAAGTAAGACTTTGTACACAATTGCAGAAGTGGCGTCAGGTTGTAACATTTTTGCAATCGGTTCAATAATTTCAAAGGTGATTTTGTTCCCTTGGAGTTGGAACAAGGTCCCATGGCTAGATACACCCGATCGCCCATACATGTAATGAGTGACATCAAACAAATTACAATACATGCAATACTAGGCATGATTGATAGGGCCTAGGCCAACATGCATTATCATGATTATGTACTCGGCCCACACGTCATGTACTCCTAGAACTATGAGGCTCCACGTAGTGGAGCCTCATAGGTTCAGAACCCTACAAAAATTGTTGTCAGCACAAAACACTAATTAAGTACAAAAACGTCCCTCCAAACCAAGCCGTTTCCCACAGAACCGCTGCACAGTTTGCCCCTTAACTCTGTACAATACCTCATGACATACTCACGTTATGTGCACCCAACCAACATCGGTGGATTCTGTCGGTTTTTCGGCAAAATGATGAAAAATATGCCTTTTCCGCACTGAGCCAACCTGACACTTGAAATTTGCACGCGCGCAGAATGATCGCAGTCATTTTCGGGTCGATAGCTCGGAGCGCGCCGCGGGGGGTACGTACTCGCACTTGTACGCATGCGCATACTATCGTTCCACGCCTACACCATCCGGTTCGTAAGTGACTTCGTCATACACGCGCACGCACCACTGATTACGAGCGCCCATTGGATAAACACTCAAGTTGCGTTAACTTCCGGTTCCATTGGTGCCATGCTACACCATGTACAGTAAGTTGAGATGACGTCACACTTACGAACCGGATCCGCGGCGCGCTCCGAGCGATCGGACCGAAAATGACTGCGATCATTCTGCGCGCGTGCAAATTTCAAGTGTCAGGTTGGCTCAGTGCGGAAAGGGCATATTTTCCATCATTTTTGCAAAAAACCGACAGAATCCACCGATGTTTGTTGGGTGCACATAGCGTGAGTATGTCATGAGGTATTGTACGGAGTTTAGGGGCAAACTAAGCAGCGGTTCTGTGGGAAACGGCTTGGTTGGGATGGACGTTTTTGTACTTAATTAGTGTTTTGTGCTGACAACAGTTTTGCGGGGTTCTGAACCTATGAGGCTCCACTACGTGGAGCCTCATAGTTCTAGGAGTACACGTCATGCACGTGCCAAAACACGTTCCCTTGTGATTTAAGTTCTAAAGTAGGCCTAAATGTGCCAGCCAACTCTTACAAACTAATCATATTGGTAAGTTGAACTATTTTAAAATGAAATTAAATGACGTTCAATGTAAAACTCATCCATCAAACCAACGAATTTTAACGAGTTTTCTTCGTTCAGTATGCATACATACGTACCCATGCTTGCACTAAATGTACATAGTCCGATCTCCGCTCCGTCGCCGTCATCACAAAGCTCCCCATGCGGCCGACACCAGACAGGTCAGATATGCGCGCGCACAGTACGTGTACGCACGCCGCTCCGTACGGTACGCAGGTATAATGATTCTTATTTTCCTCATATTTATCTGTGGAGTGCGGTAGCTCAATCGGTACGACATCGTGATTTTGCACCGCGAGGTTGCGGGTTCGAATCTTGGTAATACACCTGAAGTGTTTTTTTCTAAACTGAGGCTTCGGAGGATTTTTTTTTTTTTTTAAGGAACTAAATTCCAAATTTCATAACATTCCAAAATCATTTTTTTCACCCAATTTTATATTTTCTTATGGTTTTTTTTTTTTTTTAAATCTACACCCATAGGCCTATGCGGATGTCGTTTGGGAGAAAAAAAATTGCATGCCGCTCACTTCATGTGATTATTTTACAAAGAGGGCGCTAATCACATTTTCAACATTTTGAGATTCAGCCCATGATTCAGCCCAACTAGCTATCTGCGAGGGATGTACAGAACTCATATCACTGCAATTTACTTCCTGACCCTAGTTGCTACTTAGAAATTCATATTATGATCAAATCATTATGTCTTGCAAAATGTCTTTAAAAAGTGTGTTCATAGTTACGTATAATAAAGGGTATATATAGCGCCAACATCCGCCTACCAAGCTAAACGCTCAACGCGCGTTATATACAAAAGTAACAAAATTATCCGACCATCAAAACATTACAATTCTAAACAAAATGGAACCCGCAATATAACATTTCAAGACCAAATTTCTTAACACCAAATGGTATTAAAATATCAACATAAGGTATTTAAATCACAGTGATTTAAATATGAAAAACAGGAGAACTCACAGCGGTCCCATGCAGACGGCAATAAACTACAAAATAAACACACAACCCTGGTGCTAGTAAACAAACAAAAAATGCAACAGACAACAACATCAATATCAACATCAATATCAACATCAACATCAACAATCAACATCAACGATCACCATCAACTAATCAAAAATCAACAAGCAACATTTACAATCACCAATCAACAATTAACATTAACAATCATCATCAAAAATCAACATCAACATCAACATCAACAATCAACTGTCAACAAGCAACAATCTACAACAACATCAACATCAACAATCAACAATCAAACATCAACAATAAACAATCAAAATCACAACACCAACAATCAACAATCAACAATTTACATCAACAAGCATCATCAACAATGAACATCAATAACCAACATCAATAATCAATATTATAGCAATCAACATCAACAATCATCAACAATCAACATCAATAATCGTTAATCAACAACACCAATCAATTATCAACAATCAACAATCGACATGAACAACCACCGTCAAATTCAATCAACAATCAACATCAACATCAACCATCAACAATGGACATCAACAACAACAACAACCACCAACAATCAACAATGCGAAAAAGCCAAACCTCAGGCTAGCCCAACACCGTGTGTTTGTTCCCTCAAACTCTAGTTTTGGTTCTGTTTTCCTCTTGGAGCACACTGCGCAAGACCTCAAGACTTCTAAGTTAGGCCTAGCCCCACGCTTACATGCACCGGCAAGCGTGCATTGTCTTGCGCTATAGGGCTAGGGGACGGAGAAACCACACGTGCATATTGAGTGTGTAAATCCCGATCCTTAAAATCAATATTGCATTACACTTGTTTTTCTTATCAGTTTTTACTGCAGTATAAAAGAATACAAGAAATGAGGCCAACACCGTGTGTTTGTTCCCTCAAACTCTAGTTTTGGTTCTGTTTTCCTCTTGGAGCACACTGCGCAAGACCTCAAGACTTCTAAGTTAGGCCTAGCCCCACGCTTACATGCACCGGCAAGCGTGCATTGTCTTGCGCTATAGGGCTAGGGGACGGAGAAACCACACGTGCATATTGAGTGTGTAAATCCCGATCCTTAAAATCAATATTGCATTACACTTGTTTTTCTTATCAGTTTTTACTGCAGTATAAAAGAATACAAGAAATGAGGCCACCGCACGCTACCAATGCCACCACTGAATCGCTCATATTTTATTCAAATCTCAACTTAAAGATAAAGGGCGTTCTTTTAAAGATTGCACATTTTACTTGTGAACCAGAACAAAAGTTCTTTGTAAGAGTTGATTGGTAAAAGAGCACTATTTTTTGGACATTATCTTTCTTTTTTTGTTCAACAAGTCCTGCCCCTTTTTTTAATGGATGCCACGCCTCTAAAAAGGTAAATTTTCGATGGCTCCACATCTAAAACATTTTCTGGCATGAATATGAACATCTGTGCCAAGTTTCACGCTTTTACGCAACAGTGCGTAATTCATCGATATTTTGTCACATATCCGCTGGAATATTGTAAGGCTTCCAAAGATTACCGAGATTACAGTACATGAATGCCCAAATCATGTCAAACGTGTGCCGACAGCAGCCGGAATGAAAACGATCAACGACAGATAAAATGAAGACTTTGCATCCATTTTTCTAAATGAAAACATCGCCTAACACGTATGGCACCAAGGTAAGTAACTTTCTTAAACATCTGGTAATAACTGCAAAGTTTGATGACAATATTCTGAAAAATAATAATGCTATCCCAACTTTTTCACGACCCTTTCTTGCAACGTTGTTCAACTCAACCCAGCGACACTCACTGACCCACACGAAGACGCACGGAGCGTCCATTTTAGCACAGGAAAGTTATTGTATTTTATCTGGCTTACGGGTGTTTTAAGAATATTTAATTGTTATTAAACTGGTTTCAAATAAATTATAGTACATTGAACTTTAGTACATAACTACAAAATAAGGTAAAATTCAGTCAAAAATACTTGGAACAACTAGCGTAACTGCTGGTAGAATTAGATATGTAAAGTTGCTGTACCCTCCGCCAAAGTGGTACGGTCTGCGTTACGTACTGTACATCATATCAGCGGTGTGATGAAACTGTTGTCCGAGTGTGTATACTCGGCCGTGCACTGATTTTTTTTGCAAATTTGTTTACCATGTTTACTAAGTCGGGAATTTTCTGCAATGAACTGCGATGGGTTTTGCGAAATTTGTATAACTAAAACCTCAAGATAAGCCTTATCCATGTCCATAAATGTGATCATCATTTGAAAGCCGATGGAAATTTGTGACTGGGGAGACTGAGTGCTAGTGCAGATTGAGGTGTGATTTATGAGAACAATTTTGTCTGAAACGATGTCTCTTGAGAAGCTTCCAGCTGACCGAGCAAGAAGCAGGATGGACCCTTTTGTTCTATGGCTATGGTTGGTAGGATAAATGAGTAGAAGTAGTGGAGGTAGACTTCTTAGTACGGTTTGACCTTGTGGGTATAAGGGACCGGGTACAGTTTGACCTATTCTATGGGAAAGATTGCATAAGGTATGGAAAAAATATATATATTTTTATGGTACATTTGGATCTTAGCCCGAATATGAGTTTCATACGTTAGTCCCTGTGAACGACCAGCTGGTCGGATCTTTAATCCCCCAACAATAGACGGGAGAGGGCGCGTGCCAAGTCAGCGCACTAGTATTGTTACGAAGTTAATCCGATCGATACAAAAAGTAATTGGATTTCCGAATGCTCGACAGCAGAAAGCAGCGATAGATGGCAAAAAATGAATGTTGCGTTGATCAAACTGAAACTAGTACGATTGTCTATTTGAAGACTTATTTTAAAGTCATTTTTAGTGGGTTTATGGGTATTGTGCACGTTGCGTTTTCCAAGGTATAAACAAACACTCACCGCAGCATACTTGCAGGGTACAACCTGTGTCGGCCATGGGGGTATATGATAAATCCACGATCCATAATCCATGCGTCTGTACGGAGACCGGTGGTCGATCACCCCCTCGATGATCGCACCGATCCTGGAGCAAATAAATAACTCCGTCCGTGCGCCTATATTCCTCTTATTAATCGATACAATACCAATGGCACTCTTCTACACTGCCACCAGAATCATCCAAGTAAAAATATATGTCTGTGCGCGGTGATTGTAGAAAAGGGAAGGTTTTGGCATCAGCCAGAGCAAATGCTAGTACACATGCACACTACTGTATACATTACGGCCGTCCGATCAGATAGCGCTCAAGTTTTCTTAATCCGTGACGGCTAAATTATTGATTAGGCTCTATAGTCAGCAGATGCGCGTACAATAAGGAATGGATTCAGTGGTTTAAAGCCATAACAAAACGTGCGGGCATGTGGTTTTTTAAAGGGAAATACGGCCTGGAAAGTGCCCGACTGAGTGTATCGGAATAACACAATCATCATTGTGCATTTTGTAATATTTCGTACTAGAACGACCCCAAAACCAAGCTAAAGCCTATCCATAGTTAAAAATTAGATCGTAACGTGCTCGTCTTTTTGCGGACGTGTGAGAAACCACTGGGGGTGTTGAGGAGGTGGGGGGATTGGCGTTCGATGGGAAAAATGGTGCCTCTTTAACGCTGTCTGTATAGGAATGCACCGAACCCTAGTTGTACCTCCGTGCCGGATTTGTTTACAAAATCGAGGATGACTGTTTCATTTACGAGTATTTTACGGGGGTTATTTAGAGGGCGTGTCCAAGCGCTAATTTTATGACTGAGAGTAGGCTTTTTCGATTGATAAGACAACACAAACAAAGAAAAATACAACTGCAGAAAGTAAATACGTTATGACATTATTGCTTTATTGACTTTATTATTGCTTTATTAAATCTCTAGTGTTTTTATTTGTCTGTCCCAATGCATTTCTTCGCAATTATATCGTCATTGTAATGTTGACTAGTCATTAATCGTCACTGTCTTCCTCGCTGACGTCTTCTTCATCTTGATGGAACAATCCGTCAAATTTCATCTGGTGTTTAGGCATAATTCTGCCGAGAGCCTTTTGTACGCTAATGCCCTTATATATTTTTTCTTCGAGATTGTCCACAATATCTTGATGAGTATCGTTATCTTTCAGATGTAGGTAGCTTGACAGAAAATCTCTGTACTTGTCAAAAAAGATTTGCTTGACTGCCCAGAGGGTCTTCCTATCGGCCTTTTCCTTGGCCTGATCTTCACCCATACCCTCGTTGATGTACTTTTCATGTTTTTCGCTCCACATTTCACGAGTCGCTTCTTTGGACTCTTCCAACCAGTCTTGGAAAGTAGCATTGTCTTCTAATTCAGAACTAGACTCATCTTCATCGTCATCTTCTACCTCCGAGTCCGTTTCCGAGCCCGATTCATCCACGTCAGGATGATCAGATTGAATAACCTCAATTTCAGAATCATCGTTAACCCCATTTATTTCAGATTCATCTTCAGCATGAGCGTTTTCGGTATGTCGCCAGAGATTATATCTCCGTCCAATTCTTTATCACACTGGTTACAAGCATGGGGTTTGACTGCAGAAAAAGTATTCATGTTGAAGTTATAAAGGCTGATTCACGAATGACAAGAAACGGATGAAGTGGTTTAATATATATTGTGCCGAGACCTGTCTGTTTGAGCTCATTTCCACATACCCCCCTGCGCATGCATTCTGCGTACCTGTGCGCTCTTAATTCCGTGCTCATCCTACTCTTTACCGTGCTCATCCTACTCTTTTCCCTGCTCATCCTACTCTTTTCCCTGCTCATCCTACTCTTTTCCCTGCTCATCCTACTCTTTTCCCTGCTCATCCTACTCTTTTCCCTGCTCATCCTACTCTTTTCCCTGCTCATCCTACTCTACGGCATAGAGTAGGATGAGCAGCGAAAAGAGTAGGATGAGCAGGTAAAAGAGTAGGATGAGCAGGGAAAAGAGTAGGATGAGCAGGAAAAAGAGTAGGATGAGCACGGTAAAGAGTAGGATGAGCACTGAAAAGAATAGGATGAGCAGGGAAAAGAGTAGGATGAGCAGGGAAAAGAGTAGGATGAGCACGGTAAAGAGTAGGATGAGCAGGGAAAAGAGTAGGATGAGCAGGGAAAAGAGTAGGATGAGCAGGGAAAAGAGTAGGATGAGCACGGAAAAGAGTAGGATGAGCAGGGAAAAGAGTAGGATGAGCAGGGAAAAGAGTAGGATGAGCAGGGAAAAGAGTAGTATGAGCAGGGAAAAGAGTAGGATGAGCACGGTGTCACACCATGGGTGTGTTTTTCCCATGGAGGACAGTAGTGGATATATTTGACAAATCAGCAGGACAGAAAATCAAACTCCGGACGGCAAAATGTGTATGATCAAGACAAAATACTATTTAATTACGACAAATAAATATATTAAACAAACGGAAATTTACTATGTACAAATTATTTCAATTGAATTATGCCACTATATGAATTACTTATACTTTGAGTGACGGATACTCAACTATATCATGGCATTATAAGGATCCTGTATTATGTGTTATACGGCCGTTTCCAATACCCCAAAACAAATGCAATCACCCCCCTAAACAGTCACTGTTCAAAACCTTTTGAAGGACTTGCTGTGTTCAAAGCTCACACTTGTGACACGGGTGGTCGATTTGGAGCACCAGTCACACACACAACATCCCTCCGGCGCTTTGACGATCCCACTAAGGCGGATGAACTCCGGGCTTGGGGAACTTGGGTTACCTCTCCGGGCCTTGGAATCTGGCTCGATGCCTGACGGTCCACACAGGACTCGGTTCCGAATATTCCTCCTGACTCTCTCGGTAGACCGTGAGCTAGTCTTGGGAGTTGGCTAACTGTTGTTCACACAGAACAAGCTATCTGGTTCACCAAGAACCTAGGAATTCTCTATTCCCACAGGGAAAAGCCCTTTAAAAAAAGGTTAAACATAATTCACAGTGAAAATTAGAGTGCCTACCGACTTATGATCAAATTTACATTCGCTCCATGCTCAAGCTCAACCCAAATTTCTGGAATGAAAATGGCATTAAAAATCTTCAAAAATTCTTACAATTTATCCTACTTCATCAACTATATTAATTTTAATGAAAATAAACTTGATTACAAAAGGCAATTCTATACATCAATCTCTAAAGATTAACTTCAAAATGCACCATTTCTGGACTATCACTATTCTCCCAAAATATTCATAATTTCTGTACTATGCACTTCTATTACTGAATTATATTGTATAAAGCAGGATGAAATAAAACTTACAGTTTGCAGGATAAACTGGCTTTTTAAATCATGGGCCACGCCCTGGTACACACAGTACCACTGTATATACATGTACATGTACATGTACATGTACTCACACAGGACTGCACACAGGACTGCACACAGCGAAGTTTAGAATAGCAGTGCCCTGGGGAATGCACATGGCATCCAAGTCCTAACAAAATTACTCAACCATGGCATTAATTTGCATACTGTCATTTGCATAAGAAAGATTTAGCTCTGCTGTACACTCTGGGTAGCCTCAATTCTGGATGGGGGAGAATTAAATTAACTTGTGCTAAAATAAATGTATAAGTGAAAATCCCATAATTAATTACATTAATAAACACAATGATAAATACAAAAATTGAAACATTATTTAAAAATATAAATCACACTTTGTGACACACGGAAAAGAGTAGGATGAGCAGGAAAAAGAGTAGGATGAGCAGGGAAAAAGAGTAGGATGAGCAGGGAAAAGAGTAGGATGAGCACGGTAAAGAGTAGGATGAGCAGGGAAAAGAGTAGGATGAGCAGGGAAAGAGTAGGATGAGCAGGGAAAAGAGTAGGATGAGCAGGGAAAAGAGTAGGATGAGCATGGAAAAGAGTAGGATGAGCACGGTAAAGAGTAGGATGAGCAGGGAAAAGAGTACGATGAGCACGGAAAAGAGTAGGATGAGCCCGGAAAAGAGTAGGATGAGCACGGAATTGAGAGCGCACAGGTACGCAGAGAGCATGCGCAGGGGGGTATGTGGAAATGAGCTCAAACAGACAGGTCTCGGCACAATATATATTAAACCAATTCATCCGTTTCTTGTCATTCGTGAATCAGCCTTTATAACTTCAACATGAATACTTTTTCTGCAGTCAAACCCCATGCTTGTAACCAGTGTGATAAAAGCTTTGGACGGAGATATAATCTCTGGCGACATACCGAAAACGCTCATGCTGAAGATGAATCTGAAATGAATGGGGTTAACGATGATTCTGAAATTGAGGTTATTCAATCTGATCATCCTGACGTGGATGAATCGGGCTCGGAAACGGATTCGGAGGTAGAAGATGACGATGAAGATGAGTCTAGTTCTGAATTAGAAGACAATGCTACTTTCCAAGACTAGTTGGAAGAGTCCAAAGAAGCGACTCGTGAAATGTGGAGCGAAAAACATGAAAAGTACATCAACGAGGGTATGGGTGAAGATCAGGCCAAGGAAAAGGCCGATAGGAAGACCCTCTGGGCAGTCAAGCAAATCTTTTTTGACAAGTACAGAGATTTTCTGTCAAGCTACCTACATCTGAAAGATAACGATACTCATCAAGATATTGTGGACAATCTCGAAGAAAAAATATATAAGGGCATTAGCGTACAAAAGGCTCTCGGCAGAATTATGCCTAAACACCAGATGAAATTTGACGGATTGTTCCATCAAGATGAAGAAGACGTCAGCGAGGAAGACAGTGACGATTAAAGACTAGTCAACATTACAATGACGATATAATTGCGAAGAAATACATTGGGACAGACAAATAAAAACACTAGAGATTTAATAAAGCAATAATAAAGTCAATAAAGCAATAATGTCATAACGTATATACTTTCTGCAGTTGTATTTTTCTTTGTTTGTGTTGTCTTATCAATCGGAAAAGCCTACTCTCAGTCATAAAATTAGCGCTTGGACACGCCCTCTAAATAACCCCCGTAAAATACTCGTAAATGAAACAGTCATCCTCGATTTTGTAAACAAATCCGGCACGGAGGTACAACTAGGGTTCGGTGCATTCCTATACAGACAGCGTTAAAGGGGCACCATTTTTCCCATCGAACGCCAATCCCCCCACCTCCTCAACACCCCCCCCCCCCCCCCCAGTGGTTTCTCACACATCCGCAAAAAGACGAGCACGTTACGATTGAATTTTTAACTATGGATAGGCTTTAGCTTGGTTTTGGGGTCGTTCTAGTACGAAATATTACAAATGCACAATGGTGATTGTGTTATTCCGATACACTCAATCGGGCACTTTCCAGGCCGTAGTTCCCTTTAAAAACCACATGCCCGCACGTTTTGTTATGGCTTTAAACCACTGAATCCATTCCTTATTGTACGCGCATCTGCTGACTATAGAGCCTAATCGATAATTTAGCCGTCACGGATTAAGAAAACTTGAGCGCTATCTGATCGGACGGCCGTAATGTATACAGTAGTGTGCATGTGTACTAGCATTTGCTCTGGCGGATGCCAAAACCTTCCCTTCTCTACGATCACCGCGCACAGACATATATTTTTACTTGGATGATTCTGGTGGCAGTGTAGAAGAGTGCCATTGGTATTGTATCGATTAACAAGAGGAATATAGGCGCACGGACGGAGTTATTTATTTGCTCCAGGATCGGTGCGATCATCGAGGGGGTGATCGACCACCGGTCTCCGTACAGACGCATGGATTATGGATCGTGGATTTATCATATACCCCCATGGCCGACACAGGTTGTACCCTGCAAGTATGCTGCGGTGAGTGTTTGTTTATACCTTGGAAAACGCAACGTGCACAATACCCATAAACCCACTAAAATAAGTCTTCAAATAGACAATCGTACTAGTTTCAGTTTGATCAACGCAACATTCATTTTTTTGCCATCTATCGCTGCTTTCTGCTGTCGAGCATTCGGAAATCCAATTACTTTTTGTATCGATCGGATTAACTTTTTAACAATACTAGTGCGCTGACTTGGCACGCGCCCTCTCCCGTCTATTGTTGGGGGATTAAAGATCCGACCAGCTGGTCGTTCACAGGGACTAACGTATGAAACTCATATTCGGGCTAAGATCCAAATGTACCATAAAAATATATATATTTTTTCCATACCTTATGCAATCTTTCCCATAGAATAGGTCAAACTGTACCCGGTCCCTTATACCCACACCTATTCCCCATTCATCCCATCCATTCATTAGGTTAAACTGTGTTAAAAATTTCCACATCCCTTAATTAATATTTATATCTACATATTTCCATATTTACATATTTATGTGACCTTTACATATTTCTAGGCCCAAGGTCAAATCGTACTAAGAAGTCTACCTCCACTACTAGTGGACATTGTAGTTTTATCTAAAAACTAAACATCAGATGTTTTTGCTTAAAAACCAAGTGTGTGAAAAACACAAGAACTATTAAATACATATGTATACATGAAAAGTAAACACAAATGGAGATTGTCTCAACACAGTCTACATTTATACATTAACAATAATGCATGTCATTTATTACTACATGTATTCATAATTTTCAAAAACAAAGTCTAATTTTTGTCAAATTGTGGACCATGTTAATCATAGAGCTATATTAAATTACTAGAGCGCTAACTCCGTGTACAAAGCAATGCCTGCTGGGCGCATCCATATTTATGCACAAACTTATGGAAACCTAGAAATTTTGTACGGCTTTTGTACGGCTATTTGCATATCTGCGTTTGTATTCCATACCGGTGCTTTACCGAAGCCGATACGCCCAAATCGAAACGCACGATCAGCAAATGAGCGTGTCATTTTGCTCTACGCAAACAGCGCAACGCGTGCGCGTATTCGCTGCAGATGTTTTTTGCCGTCACGTTTTTTTGAACCGTCAATGACGCGCTTCAGTTGTTTGCGTGTGTTCTACTTGCGCGTTGAATATAGAGTACAGTTTCAAAATTAAATCCATCTAATTTCATCATGTTCTACAAACACGCATGAATTTAAAATGTCTGCGCTCAGGACGGATTCAAAGCGCTCCGCCCGCAGAATGGCGAGTTAGTGCTCTTGTAATTTAAAATAGCTCTATGATGTTAATACAAATACCTATATTTGCTTTGAAAATATGTGTTTATAGAAACTTCACACTTGTTGTCACACAATGATGAACATTATAACCACGTGAGGCACACAAGTTTTATCAAAAATAAGAACACTTTACGCAGCTCTATGCCAAAAATGTTGCCCGTATACTGGTGTTTGTCATGCACTATCGATAAAAATCAAGACACAAAACTTTGGCCAAAAATGTAAATATTATTTCAGTTATTATTAATCATAATTAATAATATTAATTATTAATCATAATTTCATATCAATTACCTAATTTTTTTGTAATTTTTTTAAGGTGGAATGTTCACACTGCCTTATATCAAGACTTCTCGGACACAAGATGAATAAATTGCTTGTACAATGCTTATTCAAGCAGCAATCTGAAAATATGCTGGTTTTCTATGATTTTTTATTGATATTTTCATAATTGAATGTGCACAATAATAAAGTACTAACCATCACCAACCGTTGTGTCAAGTTTGATATGCATACATTGCTTTGTTTTTGAGTAACGGGCAAATTTTACGGAATTGTCTGAAAATTAAGAGTACCGTTGTTAATTCATAGAAAGCCTTAAGAATGACCTTTGACCTCGAGCCCCCAAATGGCATTGTTTGTCAATAAAAAAATCATACATATCTCGGCAACCATGCACACGACCGATTAAAAAAATGCCAAGTGTTTCTGAATGGGAAAGTATAGTTTTTAGGCCCATATCGGGTCTCAGACAAGCAAAACTAGTTGTTATGACTATAGGGTTTGAGGCAAAATTTAATTGAAGCATGACATTGACATGGATTTCAACGACTTTTGCCGTTACCAAAATAAAATGAAATCAACGAATTTGTCGTAATTTTTCGATCATTGTTTTCGAACCGAAACCAAAATTCTTAGACAGAATTGATATACGGGGTGTTTAAAACAAAAAAGGAAACCCAACTTCAAAGAATGAGTATGGACAGACGATATGTTTACTGGCTATAAAACTGGTATCATCTAAAAGCGTAATCTCTATGCTTTTCAATGAAACTATGTATCGGTTTTCTGAATCATGCATCAGTGAGCATCATTGTCTTTAAAACTGGATGCAAAAATGCAGTTGGTTCACTTTCATAAAGAAAAATCCACTAGGCACGGTGTGCCTATTTTTACAAAAATGTCTGTGAAATGGCTTGAATGTTAATCCTCGGGAAAATGGAACATTGTTATAAACGTGGCCTAATTGGTCGAAACGAGAAATTCATGACAAAAAATAAAATGTAGTTTTGAAACTATCCCGATTTTTTTTTCTT